AGGGTAGTTTGCCAGCCCATGGATGGACTGGGGACAGCTGCGATCGGTTGCTTTTGAGATAGTGCGTGTGGGGATTGCTCTTGTGGGAGATCGTCGGCGTGAGACATCTCCTGACCAAACTGAGCAGGTGAATCATCTACTGGCCATTACTGATAAGTGCAGGAACGATCGAGAAGATTTGGTTCGACAGGCCGGAGCCACCAAAGGAGTGCAGACGGCTTTGGACTTCTGTCAGACTCAGACGGGAGTCGCTGTTTGGGGACCTCTTTGCATTCTGTGTTTATTGATCGGCTTTCTTGCAGGGGTACTTTGTACCTCTCTGTTGTGGGTCCGTTTGCGGAATTTTGATTCCACTGCGCATTGGGTGCCAGCCAGTACGCAGGTGCCTAAATTAGGCTCTCCCACACAATCCTCGCAAGAGCATGGAGCAGTTGAACCAACCGAAGCAGTGGTTGCCGCAAGATTGCGCGCTCGTGCGCTTCGCGGATGATCCTGCACTTCTTCATGGGCGAGTCGTCCTCCGATGTTATGGAGGAAACCTATGCCGGGTAATCACGCCTGATCGCGACGTCCAGGAGACCACCCTTGAGGCGGGCAGCGTGTACACGGAAGTGATTCGGATGAATGGCTCGCGACTGCCGAGGGGGATAAAAGAGGACGACACCTATCTTCCTAAGCACAGTGGTGATGGAGATTTCAAGCATGATGAACTTCTCCATTTTGTTCGAGTGGCTGATAGGGTGCCGGCCTCGGTGGAAGGACGGAGGCGGGTTACCGGCAAAGTTGATTATGAAGGAGCTGTTGATGAACTTCAGGGCCCCCATGCAAATCCGAGAGACAAGGCCATATCGAAACAAGCAGTTGAACGAGCACAAGAGGATGAATGCTGGATCAAGATCTACAGTTCAAACGGGACAGGCATCGGTGATCAGGCTTTTCCGCCGGTGGAGTCGGCTTTGCTTGTCTGCGGCGGCGGATTGTTCAAACTTTTCCGCGAGGCGGGGACCGAAGAGGACATCCTTGCCAAACAAGTGCAACGAGGTGATCTTGCAGTATCCATGGAGCATGCTCGTTTGGGCGCTGGGATCGAAACTAAGAGTGAGAAGGACGTTCGAGTACTATCGGTGTTGTTCGACAGCGCGGATGAGCGCTGGAGAACGATACACGAGGCAGTTCCGGAGCTGGAAGAGGTTGAGTATGAGGACTTTCCTCTGCAAGGGCCTCGCACTCTTTTTCGCGATGTGCGCCAACTGCGACGTCTCGGGCTCGACTTCTGTCAACATCATGAGAGTTGGTTGAAGAAAAGCGGAGTTCGAGCTGGGGACCGAAGCGTTCATGAACATGCTTCTTTGTGTCGCGCCTTGAACTGGATGCTTTGTTATGATCAGCTTAACATATGCGGTCTGGCTAGTGCTGAGGCCTTAAACCGCAGGCGCACGCTCATAGAATTTGCCCATCAAGGCAGACCAGAGACACCATCTTACGAAGGTGCTGAGGACATCTTAGGGGTGAGAGAGTCTGCAGATGGATCGCTGATCGACCCGGCCATCACACAGCACGCTGCGCGCCGGGCTGCATCTAAAGCTGAGGTCTTGAAACAGCAGAGGTTGGCCGCTGAGGAGCGGCGACAGCGAGCCCCACCTGATGATGGAGCTCGTCCTGGCAAACCGCCGAAGGGAGGGGGTAAGGGCGACCCAAACGCCCAGAAGCCTCCCTAAGCCCGCTGAGGTGGCTGGCACTTGGGGCACCGGTGTCGGCCGCGAAAGTTTTACAGGTGCCAATCAATTTTCCGCACAACCACGCCAACGGCATGGGGATCTTCTGCCTTTGCCTATGCCTGTGGATGATGGTTTCTCCGGCAGCGTGTGCTCTTTGCGGTCACGTCGATCGTCACAAAGGGTTGCAAGACGGAGGCTTTTAATGGAGAGGTCGCGTTGCACAGTGAGGTGTCTCAACGAGCTTGCGGGCTTTACGGATGCTTCTTCGTGGCCGTTATCCTGTAAAAATCGTGCACAGGCAGAAGTTTTGAACCGGGTCTACAAGGCCCATCTCCTTCGCCCACCTCCGGTGGACAAAGAGAGCCCTCAGGCAGCGCTTCGGCAGCTGCTGAAGAAGAAGGCCGGGTATAGTGAAGGCCCAGGACAACTTGCGAGTTTCGTTCGGAGCCGTCTCTCGTTACCACGAGACCAGCAGGTGCCCACTCAACTCGAGCACTTGTTACCACAGGTGGAGGCGGATCGGCTTCGAAATTTTCGTGAAGAGATGATGCTGAGCGAAGAGGAGATAGCCGGGGTCATTGAGAAGGGTTTGGAGAACAAGTACTACATCGACCCTGTTCTTGCACGTGACCCTCGCGCTTATCATGAGCTAGTTGCGGACCTGGTCAATAGCAAGCTGTTGTCCTTTACTTGTAGGCCGAAGTCTCAGGTGGGCATATTTGCGGTCACCAAGAAAAATG